AATCATTCTCATTAATGGATATGCTAATTTATAATATTAAATATTATCACTATTATCATTGCCATCATTTTTCCTCATCAATTACAAACATTCAATCAAACAGCTTTTTCTTTCTTACCTGACCTTTGATCTTATTCCTGATATAAAAAAATCACCGAAGAGGTGTGTCACTCCAATGGTATCCGGTAGCATCCTCTCACACTATCAGTTATCCGTTTCATCCATCCATCCATCTATCCATCTATCCACCCACCTACCCACCAACACACACCCACCTACCAATCATAGAATTTCTTGAAAGCAACAACGCAATGAGTTACCTCCACCCTTTTCCCATATTATCATATTGAAGAGGAGGAGGAGGAAGAGGAGGAGTCGTTCCGGTATCTGTCTGTCCGCATCTATCATATGTAGGGAGCATTTTTGAATTCCCTTGACTTTCTCTTTCTCTCTCTCTCCCCCTCTCCCTTTCTTTTTCTATTCTCCTTCTTTCTATCTCTTCCTCTCCTGAAAAACTACCATAGGGTTGGTTTGTATTTGTTCCAATGATTTCGGATTGTCTGATACATCATCATCGTCATCATCATTATCATCATCAACATCATCATTATTACTATCACGATCACTATCACTGTCATCATCATTATTCATTAATAATTATTATTACTGTCATCATCATCATCATCATCATCGTTAGTATTATCTAACTGTTCAAAACAGGAATAATTTCCGGATCATTTCTGCTGCCAGAATCAAAATTAAAGTTTGATCGGATTGGCGGTTTACTGTTTGGATATATGTATGCATGTATGTATGTATGTGTATGTATGTATGTTTGTATGTATATATATGTATATGCTGATTTCAAGCTATAATAAAGAGGGGTGGAATTGAAGCGAACCATCACCGAAAGCACTATCTCATTTACATTGCTGATTATTCACCGGAAAAGTGTTCCGATTTTTCGCTGCCGGTTTTCTTCATTTTCATTTTCACTTTTATTTCTGACTTATTTGAAATACGTTACCAATTGTGTACGTATATAAACGTGAAACGTTTGAATTCCAAGAAAAAAAATTTTTTACCTTTCTTATTAATCGATAACAACAACAACAACAACAACAACAACAACAACAATAGCAATATCGCCAACAACAAAGAATATTTATTTGATAAAATTATTTTAATATGCTAAATGTTGTCAGCATCATCATTCTCGGCATCACAACCTAATGACGAACAACAACAACAACAACAGCAATCATCGTCGGTTGTTATCAGTATATCAAATAACATACGATCAACGGATAACAACAATCGTAACAACAACAGTAACAGCAGCAGTAGCAGCAGTAATAACAATAATGGTACCAATAATAATGGTATCATTAATATTAGTAATTATACTCAGGTTATTAAACCAACATGTGAAGCATTCCAGGAATTAAGCGAACGATGGCCGCCACCACCACCACCACCACCATCATCATCATCATTATCATTACCACCACCATCATTATCATTACCACCAACTGCAACTATGCCACAATCGGTATTACAACCTTATCAACCGCATTCTGTTACGGCTACACCATTTCAATTATTATTCCCGCCACCTCAACCAGATTGGAGTACCTATCATGAGCATCATCAACATCATATTCAACAACAACTGTTGCAACAACAACAACAACAACAGCAACAACAACAACAGCAGCAACAACAACAACAACAACATCAGCAACATCATCAACAATTATCACTAATGTCTATTCCACAAGTTATCCCGTCACATCTTACAAATACCGGTGTAATGGAAATGAAACATGAACCAGAACGTCCGGATGTTATTCAACGTCTTTCCGCTGCCGCACCTTCATCGTGGCCTTACGCATTTGCCCAAGATGATTTACCACTATCATCATCACAACTTGCTGATGAAACAGATTCCACGTGTTCTGAAGATTTGGAAGCATTTGCAAAAACCTTTAAACAACGTCGTATTAAATTAGGTTATACGCAAGCTGATGTTGGTTTAGCGCTTGGTACATTATATGGTAATGTATTCAGTCAAACTACCATTTGTCGTTTTGAAGCATTACAATTAAGTTTTAAAAATATGTGTAAATTGAAGCCATTACTGTATAAATGGCTTGAAGAAGCTGATTCTACTAGTTCCTCACCTAATAGCGCCTTTGAAAAAATGACCGGACAAGGTGGTCGTAAGAGAAAAAAGCGAACATCAATTGAAGTACAGGTGAAAAGCCGATTGGAATATCACTTTCAGAAAAATCCTAAACCAAATGCCCAAGAAATCACTCAAGTTGCAATGGAATTACAATTGGAAAAGGAAGTGGTACGAGTATGGTTTTGCAATCGACGACAAAAAGAGAAAAGAATGACACCTCAATATGGTCAGGAACTTTTATTAAATCCTAATAATTATCCACCAGATACTTTTGTTTACACATAATTATCATTCTCTTCGTTTTTTTTTCACTTCCTTCCTTTTTTCTCTTCAGCATCTTCTTTTTTTTTTTTTTGAAATATGAATATTTTTCTGATGTTATTGTTTTGCGATTTATATTGTGATTATTTTCAAATTTAAATAATATTAGCAAATTAATCGAAAAAAAAGTTTTTCTTTTTTTTTTATTTCATGATTAGTTGTATCATTCTTATTTTATTTAACGAAATTTTTAAATTTTTGTAAATTTTGACTCAAAGAAAAATGAATTGAAATTTTAATGCATATTTTTAGCATGTTGACATTTTAGGATGACACTCTTTTTTTTTTTGGTTAGTAAAAATTAGCAAAAAATATCAATTTATTTTTGCAACTTTTAATATTAGCATATGTAGCTTTAACCTAGTTTTTATTGGTTAATTTTACCGTAATCTCTCTTATATATCCACTTTCTTTCCCTCTCTCTCTCTCTCTCTCTCTCTTCTCTCTCTTCTCTCCTCTCTTC